GGTCTCATCTCTAACGACGATTTGAGGTTCTTCAAATTTTGTACCACTGGGAAGCTTCAATTTTTTTTTACCAATGTCAGTTTCGTCGACAGTCTTCTGAAAGATCTCTGCCGTTGCTAGTGTTGGGTGTTGGCTACGTACAAATGCTTTGAATTTGAGAGTTTGTGGAACGCGGACTCTTTTCGTACCCCTGGGGTATTTATAGCTCTCATGGATAATTCTATTAGCATTGTGTTCACATGCATGGGGGTTGGCTTTACTAAATAACGGGTGGATATCAATCGAGGACAGCTATTTTCAAAACATGGTTGCGGTGAGTTCTTGTGACCCAACGTTGCGAAAATCAGACGAATAGATGGAGTTCACTCTGAAATTTCAGTATAAAATTAAGCTAGTAAGTATATATAAAATAATGTAATTAGAGATAGATATTAATCAACCTGTTCTAACTGCTGGCATCCGCACTATTTCGTACGCCACTGACAATGTTTATGTTTAACTTCATGTATTCGAGTTATTAATTACTATAGTATATTCTGGTAGTTGGGATTTGATTCTGCTTAGTCAGATGAATTGAAAGATTCAAACTCATGGCATTTTTAGCGTATTGTATATGCATGTTTGGAGCTCAGACAATAGTAATATTTGCATGATTTCATACTTTAAGAATATAATTAATAAGAATTTAACTCAGTTAATATTTATTAATTTAGAAATTTTAATTTAAAATTAATGTCAAAGATTTAAATTTTGTATTATCAAATAATTAATTCTTTGTTAAAAATATAACAATAATTAAGAGATATATGATTAGGAGATTAAGTGTAATACCCCAAAATTTTGTGATATTTTAGCATTAAGTTAAGGACCTTTGTGTGAGAAAATAGTGTTTTCAGGCTTAATGATCAAAATTTCCAAACTTGAGGGACTTAAAAAGAAAGGAAATTAGGATAAGGATGGCTGAATTGTTCTTTCTTTTTCTTCTTCCTTATCCGCGTGATCTGCTCTTCTTCTTCTTCCCGAAAGCCCCAAGCCCCCCGACAGCCTCCTCTTGAAAAACCCGTGAGAAGCTTGTGTTTTTCCCCTTGTTTTCTTGTCCGAAAACCAGATTTGAGCTTAGAAACCTTCTCCCCTGCTGGAAAAGCCGGATCTGCCCTGCTCTGCTTTGTCCTTCCGCCAGCTGCTCTTGATTGTGGGTGATTTTTGGGCCTTTTTTTCGGTAAGAACAGCCCCTAATTCCTTTGTTTTTGCTTGAATTGGCTTGGGTTAACTTTGATTGCTCTTATTTCCTTCAATTTTGGGTAAACCCGTGAGCTTTCCCTGCAGCTTGCCGCCGGCCTCTTCCCCCCTGTAGCTCTGGTTTCTACAGCTAGAGAATTATGGTATGTGACAGCCTTTTAAGGCTGAAATTGTCCATTTAGTTTGCTGGCTGTGTATGTCCGAATTTTGCTAGAAAAATGGGGAAGAATTTGATAGCTTTAGGACCATGATTTAGCTTAATTGAAGTGGGATTTATGTGATTGAGTGTTAATTGCTTGTTGTGATTTTTGGAGAGAAAACCCCGTGAGATTATCTAGTGTTTTGGCCAATTTTGGAAGTGCAGTTACTGTTCACGTCGGGGTCACTGTTCACCGGTTACTGTTCACACCCCGAGGGCCAACATTTAACGAGAATTTAAATGATTAGTTTGTGATATAAGAACGAATTTGGAGATGTCCGATCATGTGGAAAGTGATAGAAATAGCATTGTGATTAGGAATGATCCTAATGATGATTTCAATGTGAATTTGTGATAGTCCGGTATTAATTCTCGAATATTTTGATTAGGTTCTTGATCGTTCTGTCAGTTAGTACGTGAATTGAGTGCTCGGTTTTATGCAAGTAAGGTAAGTAAAATTATGGTAACGCCCTTTGACTTTTCAAGCATGTTTTGATTTGTTTTTGAAGTGGTGGCGGGACTAAACCCGTTTTACACGAGCATGACTGATTTGAAGTGAAATGTTT